GGAAAATTCTTGGACTTCCCTCGTGTGTTGCTGATGCAGCTTTATGCTTAGAAACCAATCAAAGGCTTCTATCGACCAGAGCATGGCTGATAACGACTCAGTTTTAACTTAAACTTCATTGCCATGGTAAAGCTAAACGTATTATTACTCACATGCTAACCGAGTCCCATCTCTCTCCATGGCTCAGATATGTAGAAGAGAAACTCTCTACAATGCGAATATCCCTGGATTATTTAGCCCCCTTTTCAGATAAACAAGCCTATGCTATTATCAAACAAAGATTTCTTGATGTCGAAAGGCAAGAACTTAGGGAACGCAGAGCCAGCAGATGCTCCCCAAGTAGGCTGGGGACTTTTGACATGGGCTCTACTGCAAAATATCTGTTAACAGCCCCACATCATCGCAGAGCATACATGCTTGCACACTCTAATGTTCTGCCATCGGAGGTGCTTTTAGGGAGGTACCGCCAGATACCATCTGTAGACAGACTTTGTCCTTGTTATCTAAAAGATATAGAATCCAGTCCACTATACACACCATACTTCATTGCCCCCTTTACAGGGATATTCGATCTTGTTTTATTACTCCATTTCTAGAGGGTAAGAGCTGGCATTCTGATGACACAATTGTTCACTTTCTTCTGTTTAATTCTAATTGCGAAATAATGGAGGCTGTTGCAAAAATTTTATATAATGCAGTCAGAAGACGAGGCTTGAACAGCCAAGTGTAAGTCACTGATGCATCTTAGTATTTTGCTGTATTTCCATGACGTTTTGTGCTTTCAATGCCAATAAACGTTTTGTGGGTGTGCGTGTATATTAAAAAAATATGAGAAGCACCTCTCCCCCCTAAACTGTGCACACGCACACATAACACACTGCAGCCCCATCATGTTACCTATTTTCTTCTTCTGCTGCCGGCCAGCCGATTCAGTTATTGTTTCCTTCTTTTTTTCCACTGAAAAGATCAGACACCACAGTGAGTTGTTTAGAAACAAAAAAACCCCAGCCGCCGCCGCCGCCTCCTCCTCTTTTCTCCCAGAGCTCGAGCATTTATATAAATATGACAACAGGCACATAGAAGGAGAGCTGCAATTACTGGCAAGGGGTGAGAGGAAGAGAAGGCTTGTTTATTTCTCCCAAGGTTAGAGCGGTGCGGCTAGCAGAAGGCAAAGCCTACTTGGAACACCAGGTTCACTGCAGACCATAAACTCTGGCTAAAAAGCCACAACACCAACTTTTGTTGAACTGCTATTCCAACCAGGACCACTCTGTCACATAATATGCTAGACAAATTCTATACAGCAATACAGACGAATGGATACACTTAACACATCAGACTGGCTGCATTATAAAAGCCTGCAAATTCTTGGCATGGAGGGATACGGCGGGGATTCAGAAGTGTTATTCTCTTTTGGGTTTTAGTTAGAGATGCTTTCACTATTATTGTAAGCCGCCTTGAGTCAAGAGGACAGGCGGGATATAAATGTTTTACTAAATAAATCAATTAATAAGCAGGATACTTAGTTTAACAACTAAGAATGTGTGCAAATGTTTTTTGCTTAAGCCCAGTTTTTGTATGTGGTTATCCCAGCAGAATGGCACAATCTGGATCCTTGCTGGAATCTAGATAAGCTTGAAAAGCTTGCAAAATTTTCGTTGTGGAAGTGGTTCAGTGGACAAGTTCTAATGTTCCATGCAGGATATGCCACAAGGGCTAAAACAGGGTAGAGCCAGTGGCTTCCAGAGCAAGCTTGCTAGGTCACGGCGTATAGCAGGGATCCTCAACATAGTGCCTGGGGAGGGCGCTCTGGTGCCCACCGATACCTTCCCTGGCACCCTCCAAGTGTTTTTAGAAAGTGGGCAGGGCTGTGGGGTTTTTTTTTTTTTGCCAAGGAAGGCTTTTGATCAGCTATTGGAAATTACATCAGCTGTGAAGATTTTTAAACATGCTACTTTGGCAGCAGCTGCCAACACAGCAAAAGGACTGTGTGACTGTGGGTAAGCTGCGGCAGTCATTCAGTGGCTGACTCCACTTCTTGCAACAGCCATTTGTGGCAGCCACTCTGTGCCTATGTGTCAGAATTCCAAAGGTGTCTGCTGGCTCAAAGAAGCTTGGGGACCCCTAGTGTACAGGGTCTATACAGTCCCATACATCACAGTTTTGCAATGCAACACTGGCCAGTTAGAAGAAGAAATTGGATTTATACCCCACCCTTCACTATCGAAAGGAGTCTCAGGCCCTGGTCACACGGCAAAGTTGCCGTGGGAGAGGCACAGATGGTGGGTGGATTATCCCGGGCGTGATCACACCCCAACATCTGGGAAGTAGAGCGCACCGGTAGCTTACCGCCGACAATGCGCCTTAAAAAACTAGTACCTCCAAGGCCTCAGAGTGGCGTACAATCTCCTTTCCTTCTCCCTCCCACAACAGACACCCTGTGAGGTAGGTGAGGCTGAGAGAGCTCTTTCGAAAACTGCTCCTGAGAGAACAGCTCTGAAAGAACTTGTAACTGACCCAAGGTCACACCAGCAGCTGGATGTGGAAGAGTGGGGAATCAAACCCAGTTCTCCCAGATTAGTTTTGATGGCAGACTCAGTAATGGAGGTCAAAGAGTGAAGAACAGCTGCTTTATTTTGTAGCTGAACCTACAGTAAAACTGTTCCTGTGACTTATAAGCAAGCATGCCTCGTTTTCAGTCATTCCCCCCTAGGGGTTTGTGCTTAGACTTCCAGCTACGTAAGCAAGGATTAGGTAAGGCTGGTATGAACTCAGCAACCTTTCTTCAAGAGGTCAAAGAACAGGCATGGCTCGACACAACACCACTTTGTCCACAACACTGCCTTGGCCACAGCAGTACTTTCTCCAGATACAGTCTCATTTTCCTGCAACAGTGAAAGTTGATACCCCATGAAGACTGCACAAAGCAGCTCACATAAAAAAAACACCAAAACAGCTCCTTGCATTCTGCTCACACTGGGAGAGGGGAAGGGAGGAGAACCGGCAATACTGAGGGCAAAAGAAAAGCTGTTGATAAAGTGATTGGATATAGTGAGCACTCTACTTTCCTAATATTTAGAAAACACTTAAGGCAAAAATGACAGATCATATTCTACAACTCCAAAGTTGCTTTGTTTCAACACCAGTAAAGATGCATGTGCAATGTGAACATCTGAAAGTGACACATTTAACACTGTAGAAACAACAGAAGTTCGCCAAAAAGGAACAGGTCAACAGACCAGAAGCAGTGCACTTTATTTTCACACCCCCTTTTTTTTTTAAAGGGCCAATAAGCCAGCAAACACACTTTAAAAATGATTTGCTATGCGCAACGGAATTCCCATTTAATCTTATGGTGGTGACTGAAGGATGCTAAAACATTTTCTCTTTGTACACTTGAACTGTTGTGCTACAGACACAGTTGGGAGAAAGAAGAGCAATATCTGCTTCCTGTATAACTTATTTACATCATCTCTAACCTGCCTTTCTCCCAATGGGACTGGATTAATCCTTTACTCATGGAAACAACCCTTGTGGCCTCAGCCATCCTGCAAAAGTTGGACTCGCCCTGTTACTATTCTTAGTTACAGCAGGACCCTCTTGTCCTGCCTTACAAAGGCCTACAAGGGATGACTCGAGGGGAAATCACCGGTCACCACAGAGTGAGCTTCTTCCCCCTCCATATATAGCTACTGGATCCGCTGCTTCAAGACAAGCCAGTATAGATCAGAGGAGTGGAAATATTTTAAATAGCTGCCCAAGATGCACAGTCTAGAGCACGAGCAGCTCTGTGACAAGGCAAGTTTTATTGTCGATTTGGATCTGGAAGCAGCACTTACGTTTTTTACTCTGCTTCTCCACCTCTGCTTTCAGCCTCTTGTACTTGTCTGTTCGATACACCAGCACCCATGTTATGCCTGAAATAAAGCACACACATCATCGTAAGACAGAACTGCATTGTGCACAATAAAAGCTCCAGCTGACCGACTAGCAAAGTGCAGAGCTCATACAGGGCAGATGCATCACAACCATGCACTCGTGGCTTGGCAGTAGACAAAGATGTTTTATAGTCTCTGGGCTTGGAAACTTCTCTCTCTGGCTGTGCAGGAAGTAAACCTTCTCTTTTCTTTGGAAGCTGAAGCCAAAGAGTGTCGCTTCCCCAAAGCCCTGCCTTTCATTAGTGCAGTAAGTATATCAAGAATCACTTTTGCATCTGCAGGGAGCACCCCTTTAGCAACAGATGCCACCAGCATAAGAGGGTGCTCTGTTCCCAGGGTCTCACCTCCTTAGATGAGTGCTGTCTGCCTTGACTCTACCCTGGGTAAATTTGCCTTGGCAACCATTTTAGGAGCTAGCAATGTCTTGCTATGGAGAAGGTGAGGTCAAGGCTCTCCTTAGACTATGTAAACAAGCAGCAGGGGAGTGGTTCACTGATGGGACACCTGCATGCCTACCTACCACCACAGGGGCTTGCAAAGCCAGGCACCCACCTTGGTCTATCAATGAAATTTGGTCAGCAAATGCAAGTCTTCCTGAGTGCAAAATCCAATTATTATCAAGCAGCCAGGTGTGCTGGATTACCTTCTACTGACCTTGCCTGACTGTCTCCTACCACCTTGCCTCGGGCATGGATGAAGCCTCCACCCTGCCAGCCCTTTCGTTCACCCTGTTTGGGTACAATCATGTTTTGTCACCTTTCTGCGAAGCTGCTCCTAATTCAGTCAAAGCCAGGACTCACCCTGAATTCCTGGACTTTACAATGATCTATTTGGTATTCCTTTGTGTTGGCTCCTATTAACTCTATTGCTGGTCCGCCAGCCAAAACTATGCACTCTTCTCCTCTCTTCTAGCACAGAGGCTGCTAACTCCCTTTTTTCTTTGGGACTCTGGGGTGCTTCCTTTTCAGAAAGGAGCATCTCTCTGCTGCCCTACCTTCTTATTTCCTCAGGACCTTTGGAAGCTCTGCCTAAAGAACTCTTCTCTCAACCTCTGGATCATTGAAACAGACAACATTCCATCCCCAATTCAGCTGACTGAGATTAGGTAAACTCCTCTTTATTCCTTTTCTCTTAGAAACCATATTTTCTCCTTCTTTAAATCCCTCTCTGCCATTTCTCCTGGCCTGGCACAGAATTCATCCTAAGTCAGAGGCCTGGCATTCTTTCACTTTCTTTACTCTCATTTAACTCTTCATACATATGTCCTTCTGAACACAGTCATTTCACTGTTCTTACGCTTAAGTACATTTCAGTTCCTATACCCCTGAATTTCCCTTTGTTTTGGAAAAGCTCTGGCTGTTTTGTGGTTAGAGGTAGTCTGTTACAGGAACCTTTAGCTCACACACTATCTAGATAATCACTAAACCACATATTCTGCTCTAACTAATTCACAAACGTGTCAGATTTCCAAGCCAGGCAGGCTATGGAAGTGGGGAGATGTTTTCCCCTGACCCTGAGTTTAATTCCTCCAAATTGGTTGAAGAAGAAGAGATTGGATTTATACCCCGCCCTTCACTTGGAGTCTCAGAGCGGCTTACAAACTCCTTTCCCTTCCCCTCCCCACAACAGACACCCTGTGAGGTGGGTGGGGCTGAGAGAACTCTGACACAAACTGCTCTTTTTCAAGGACAGCTGTGCCAGAGCTTGTGACTGACCCAAGGTCACATCAGCAGGTGCAAGTGGAGGAGTGGGGAATCAAACCCGGTTCTCCCAGATTAGAGTCTGCACACTTAACCACTACACCAAACTGGCTCTCAAACTGGTTGCAGTTCTGGGTGTGTCACAAACCCAAGAGCGCAGACGCGTCTAGGATACACATGAAATGGAGCACATGTAGTAACAGTTTGGCTTGGAACATCCCAACATTTTTTGTTTGAAACCACCCTCGGGTTACTGTGCTGTCATCAGCTCCTTCCCCACGGCAGCAATTTTGTGTAGTATTCCACTATCCTTTCTGAAAATTCCAGAGAGTTAGCAGGCTCAACAATGTTGGGAACCCCTGCCCTACAGAATTTGACTTGGAGTGAGAACAGCAAATATGTTCCTTCCTTACAGTGATAATTTAGCTGAAAATTGATCACTGACCATCTTGATGACTCCTACATGTCCCAGACCCCGATACCAATTGAAAAGAGCAAGCTGTTATTTAGGTTGGAGCTCAGCACCAACATTACCTCCCCTCCCAAATGCAGACACATGCATTTAGTTTGGATCTCATATCACTGGCTGACAGTGGGAGAAGGCCACAGAAAACCATGCAGTTTGCAGGAATAGTGCATGTTGCATGAGTAGTGCTTCTAATGCAATGCAAGCAACTGTGCATCCTAAAAATACATTGCCATAGAAAAGGTGCTTCAGAAATCAGCCAAAAGGCCAAATTAGTTCAGCATCCTGCTTGCAGCAGATGCTACCAAGGCACTCATAAGGGTAGGGGCTATGGCTTAGGTGTAGGGAGCTTGCTTTGCATGCAGAAGGCCCCAAGTTCAAGCACCAGTATCTCCAATTAAAAGGATCATGTAGTACATGATGGTAGCAGCCCTAGCGCCCAGGCTAGCCTGATCTTATCATGGATCAGAAGCTAAGCAGTGTCAGTACCTTGATGGGATACCACAAAAGACTGGAGCTACTGTGTAGAGTCTTGCCTTGAAAACCCCATGAGGTGGAACTTCATGGGGTCTCTATGAGCCGGTTGCAACAGAACAGCACACCTTACCTTTAGGAGGTGATGCAAAAGACTTTTTCCTCTGCCTGAGACCCTGGAGAGCTGCTGCCAGTATGAGTAGACAATACTGACTGTGATGGACCAATGGTCCGATTCAGTTATCAGGCAGCTTCGTATACATTCGTATGTATGTATGTTTGTAAGACCCAGCCAGACTAAATGTATTTTATTTATTTATTTTTCACATTTGTATCCCGCCCTCCCCAGTGGGCTCAGGGTAGCTAACAAGGGGAAGGTGATTCGCCATGCCATATTTAAAAACACATAAAACATCATAAAAACATCCGACACTTAAAACAACGGTGCTCAATCAATTGCTGATCTCATACGTCCAAGATGGAATCAACACAGTTCCAGGTGGCACTCCCATGGTATTTATGCCCTCACAAGACTCACCTTGCTGCACCAAAGTATACGGCACATTCATCAGTTCCAAAAGGACAAAAAGACACAAGTTCTCCCCAGCTGCTTACCCCCCCTTAACAACTGGAACTCAAGGAGTCCCGCTTCCTCAGAACATGGAAGTTCCACTGTCATAGGTAGCAACTTATACTGAGTATCAGGATGAACAATCCCCCACCCCCTTAGAATTTTAAAAAGTTTTCCTTAGGATGCCTATCCCAGGAACTTCAAAGCAAGCTACTGATGGAGGCCTGTGTGGTTACAGGTTCCTCCTGACTACCAATGGGGTATGGGGAAAGGGCTGCCAAGATCCACGTTGGGAAACTTCTGGAGATTTGGGGGTGGATCCTGGGGAGGACAGGGACCTCAGTGGGGTGCAATGGCACACTCTCTGCACTCTGGAGATGGGCTGTAATTCCAAGGGATCCCCTGGTCCCACCCGGAGGATGGCATCCCTAGGTTGTGACTTTTCAGTCTCGTGAGAGGCACCGCTAGGATCCTGACCCTTGTCCTTCTCCCTCCCACTGCAGAGGGGAAAGGAGGAGGAGCCCCAACCACGGCTTGCTTCGCCCTGCACCACCCGTCACACGAAACCCCTGCAATGCAAACCTCCCCGGAGAGCAGCTGTCATCCTGGGGAAGACTCAATAAGCCTGGCCCGTCGAGAGGCCGAAACTCTTCGTTCCATGCTTGCCCCGCCCGCCTGCCTACCCACCCACCCGGCAACCGCTTAGACGGGCAACACCCCCAACCATACTCTGGCTCTTCCCAGCCCCTTCAGCTCACCCTCGGCCAGCAGCGCGGTGCACACCGAGATGAAGACGATGAGGACAGTGTCCGCGAACATAGTACTCATCGTAGGGGCCGGTGGACGAAGGCGCCTCAGGTACGCTTAGGCCCGGCCGGAAATGACGGAGACATCCCCACCCCGTAGCTTCCGGAAGCGACCGTTTGAAAAAGCAAAGGCGCGCGAGAAAAGAGCCCGCCTCTGGAACCGGGAGACAGAGGGGACGCCGCCCTCAACCAATCGGCAGCCGCTTCTGCAAGCGGGCGGGCCAATTAGTGACTCGTGTGGTCAAAAGAACAAAAGTTGGAATCTAGCGGCAGCTTTAAGACCAGCAAAGTTTTATTCAAGGACAGGTATGAGTTTTCGTGTGCAGGTACACTTCCTCAGATACACTGAAATGGAAGTTACCAGGCCGTACATATAGGTAGAGGATGAGCAGCAAATTGGCATAATCATAATAAGCGGTGTTTAACAGATGCAAGAACCATACCGGAATAACAAGCTTGGTTTATATGGGTCACCAATTTGGTTGCGTTTAATTCCAGGGAAATAAACAGTGAAGGAAATATATAAAAATTGGAGAGAGATGGGCAAATCTATGACACCCTGTATTGTAGTGGTTAAGTGTGCGGACTCTAATCTGGGAGAACCGGGTTTGATTCCCCACTCCTCCACTTGCAGCTGCTGGATGACCTTGGGGAAGCCATAGTTCTGGCACAGCTGTTCTTGAAAAAGAGCAGTTTCTGTCAGAGCTCTCTCAGCCCCACCTACCTCACAGGCTGTTTGTTGTGGGGAGGGGAAGGGAAAGGAGTTTGTAAGCTACTCTGAGACTCCGAATGAAGGGCAGGGTATAAATCCAATCTCCTCCTCTTCTTCTCCTTCTGGGGTGGAGGACCGTTTCTTCCGTTTTTTCTTTGGCTGGGAAGGCTGTGGTGTTTATTTAATTCATTTACACCTTGTCTTTCTCCCCCATGGGGACCCAAAGCAGCTTACATCGTTCTCCTCTCCTCCATTTTATCCTCACAACAACCCTGTAAGGTAAGTTGGACTTACAGTTAGTGACTGGCCCAAGTTCATCCAGCGAGCTTCCACAGCATGAGTCGGTATTTGAACCTGGTTTTTCTAGATACTTTTTATCCTCACAACAACCCTGTAAGGTAAGTTGGACTTACAGTTTGTGACTCGCCCAAGGTCATCCAGCGAGCTTCCACAGCATGAGTGGGTATTTGAACCTGGTTTTTCTAGATACTAGTCTGACACTATTAACCACTACACCACAGTGGCGCTGTATATGCCAACAAACTTCCAGACTTTTGAAGAAAGAGTGCCCTGCGCTTAGGAAAATCCACAAACAGAAGCCAAACAATACCTTTTTATCAAGACAGGCCAAACTAACACAACTCATTGTGCAACCTTTCAAGTTCTCCAGCACTCTTCATTGGGCTGGAAGTTGGCAGTCTCTGGGCTTAGGAAGTCTCTTCTCAAGCGTTACCTAAATTTAGTACCATTTTGTGGGCAAACTGACTGCTAACCGCGTATGTGTGGTTCTATTCGGCTCCTCCCAAGAACAATTGGAGGCCTAACTGACTCTGGAGGATGTTGACTTCCGTACATAATTTGCACACAGTGAGGAGCATCTACAAAAAGATATTTTTACAATAGGAAAAAAGCAGTAACTCTTTATATGCAACAAACTTCAAGACTTGAAGAAGGAGTGCCCAGGGCTTAGGAAAATCCACAAACAGAAGCCAAACAATACCTTTTTATCAAGACAGGCCAAACTAACACAACTCATTGTGCAGCCTTTCAAGTTCTCCTGCACTCTTCATTGGGCTGGAAGTTGGCAGTCTCTGGGCTTAGGAAGTCTCTTCTCAGGCGTTACCTAAATTTAGTACCATATTGTGGGCAAACTGACTGCTAACCACGTATGTGTGGTTCTATTCGGCTCCTCCCAAGAACTATTGGAGGCCTAACTGACTCTGGAGGATGTTGACTTCCGTACATAATTTGCACACAGTGAGGAGCATCTACAAAAAGATATTTTTACAATAGGAAAAAAGCAGTAACAAATCAACATGAGAACCTGCCCTAAAACACTTAGGAAAAGGCAACTGTGGATCTATGTAATACCTCATGGATCTTCACGCTTTATTGCTCAGATCCCCGCAAAACCTGTCTTCAGATCACAAACCAACCCCATGGAGTCCTGTGACACACAAAAAACATGGAACCTTAATATCTGTACTTTTAACTCTTTAAAACCCACTGTCAAATCACATTCACATCCCTGGACTACAGTATCTACAGATGTCATGCTTAATTTGATGCTGAATTTTGGGGAGGTCTGTGTAAAAATAAGGATATGTGCTTCAGATGATTATCTATGTTTTTGCCCAGAACAAGGTGTGTGTTTGAGGGCAGGTACTCATGTTGAGTTATTGCTTTTTCTCCTGTTGTGAAGATATCTTTCTGCAGATGCTCCTCGCTGTGTTTTTGCACAGATCATGGGATCTGTGATTTTTTTATTGTAATGGACAAGGATATCAGCTGTGGTGATTTCACCTTGCTAAAGTATAAAAATTATAAATAAGGATCCATTTAAAAATCCTCTCGCTCTGACATATTTATTTATGCAGCTTATTTATAGCCCACGTTTCTCATTGAGCCTCCCGGCAGATTACAGAGTACAGAAAGAGAAAACCATGTAAGCTTTCAGTTTAGGATATCGAATGAAGAAGGCAATAGGACTAGGAGTACAAAACTGAGTGGCCATTTGAGCAAGTGACTTGAGTAGGATTCAGTTTAGGATGACACTGCTCAATAGCAGACAGCTGAAAAATATAATGTTTTAATAGCGATGACTATGAGGTTCAGTCTGTGGTGACTCACACATACCTAATGACTTGATATTAAAGTCATCAGGATGAGGAGGGAAGTCAGGAAGCAAGACGTTGTAGGACCATGACCAAGGGATTCCTCAAGAGAGGCAGACATAGCACAAGAGCTTAATGACAGGTAGGGCAAAAACATTCTGCTTTTGGCCACCAGGAGGTATATGGCAGTTTGAAAGCCACACAAGAGATTCAGACAACCTAGTTTCAGTAAGGTCAACAGGAGCTACTGACAAGTATACTTGCATCAGGTTACATCTTTATGGTATAAAGCCCATCAAATCTGGGATACATAGATCTTCTCCAAAAATCTTTGCTGCCTCAATTGTCATCTTTGGCCCCGGTCACATGGCAAAGTTGCCGCGGGAGAGGCACAGATGGTGGGCGAATTATACGGGTGCGATCACACCCCAACATCTGGGAAGTGGAGCGCACCCGTGGCTTACCGCCGACAATGCGCGTTAAAAAACTAGTACCTCTAAGGTACTAGTAAATGTTTGCCACGGGCTGCCTCCAGACGCCCGTGGTGTGATCAAGCCGGTGTGCGGCATTCCCCTCTGGTCCCTTGATTACCCGCCGGCACCGAGGGAAGGACCCATGTTGTGCCGCCAGTGCATCTGATCGCGTAATCGCGGATCAAACTGCGCCGGGGCAATTAGCCACGCCTCCCCGCGCGATATCCGGCCCATGTATAGCTTTATTTCGGTACTGTAAACATCCCAGTTAAATGTAAGCGTGGCCTCTCTACCATAGATAGCTTTATTTCAGGCATTGGTATGGTACTGTAAACATCGCAGTTAAATGTAAGCGTGGCCTCTCTACCAACTTGACCTTCACCAAAACTTGGGGTAAAAGTGAGACGTTGATGAGTGTGGCTGATGTCTCCAGTTCCTGGTTCTTAAAAGATAATTGCCCTCACCTGGATGGCCCAGGAGCCGGATCTTGTTGGTCTTGGAAACTAAGCAGAGTCGGCCCTGGTTCGTACTTGGATGGGAGACCACCAAAGGTCAGGGTTGCTACCCAGAGAAAGCAGTGGCAAGCCACCTCTGTTTATCTCTTGCTTTGAAAACTCTACAGAGCAGCCATAACTTGACAGCACTTTCTGCCACCACCAAGAGATGATCACTGACAACTTTGACAAGGTTTGAGAATCTGAAGGCCAGCCATGCAAGGCTGTACAGGTCTCGCACATATTTATTATTGATTATATATCTTGTTTGCATCCTACCCTTCCTCCAAGGAGCTCAGGGCAGCATACATCCTTCTCCCCTCCGCCCTTTCATCCTCACAACAGCCCAGTGAGATACATTAGGCAGAAAGAGTGAGCGCCCAAGGTTACCCAGCAAGCTTCATGAAGACGGGGGATTCGAACCTGGGTCCTCCAGGTCCTAGTTGGACATTCTAACCAGTACACTATGCTTCATAGACGTAGGGAAAAGAACTGAGCCTGACTTGGTAAATGCTTTCAAAGTAATGTGACTGAAGGAAGCCTTCACCAGACACGAATGGCCCAGGCTGGCCCGATCTTGTTAGATCTCAGAAGCTAAGCAGGGTCGGCCCTGGCTTGTACTTGAATGGGAGACCACCAAGGAAACCCAGGGGTGGCTATGCAGAGGCAGGCAATGGCAAACCACCTCTGAATGTCTCCTGCCTTGGAAACCTGACAAGGTTGCCTTGCCATAAGTTGGGTGCGACTGGATGGCATTGTCCACCACCAGGAAGACTTCGGGTTGCCACCTTCCAGGTGGGGCCTGGCATTCTCAGGGAATTACCAACTGATCTCCAGAGGACATAGATCAGGTCCCCTGGAGAAAATGGCAGCTTTCAGAGGGCAAACGCTTATGGTTTGCTATAGGTGAAATCCCACAGGCACAGCCCAGAAATCTTAAGGCATTTCCATGCCTCGGTTGGCAGTCCCAGCCTCCTAAGGGTGCAGTCCTATGCGGAACGACCCCAATCTAAAGTTTAACGGGTTTAGACTGGAATAACTTTAGGATGGCAGTGGAATCCCCTTCCCCACCCCCTCCAACGATGAGCCTACTGGTGTATACTCGCCAGCTGCAAACATCACGCGCAGTCCTTGGGGGAAGCAAATGGCAAAATCCCGGGAGCAAGCGGGCGAAGCCGCCTTGGTGAACTCAAAACAGGAGGATTCCTTCCTCCTGCCTTGCAAATCGAGAGTCGGAGTCACCTTTCTCACTCCGGTAGAAACCTGGGACAGAAAACGGCTCTCCGCTTATTTTGTGCGAAATCCCCCACACACACACAAGCCGGCGAAGGGGGTTTGAGGGCCGGAGCGGGCGCGCAGCCAGGGGCGTCTCCGGCCCAGTCCCCAGTGCCGGCGCCTCGGTCTTTGGCGCAAGGCCGGCTGCAGTCCCTGCTGCAGGGACCACGCGGCTTGGCAGGGCGGCCAGCCGGCCGAGCAGGGGGCGGGGAAAGAGGCGGGCCCCGGGGGGGGAAGCGCCCCCGCCCCCGCTCGAGCCCTGGCAGCGGCGAGTGCGCGTTGCCATGGCAGACCAGCCGCCACCGCCTCCTCCTCCTTGGCGGCAAGCGCGGAGCGGGCAGTGGCAGCACCGCAGGGGTGAGGATTCCGGATGGGCTGTCAGGGCGGGGCGGGGCTCACTTTGTGCCCAACCCCAGCAGCTGGCGGCACTGGCCGAAGAAGGCTTGGGGTCCCTTCCCCACGTGGCGGGAGCCGGAGAGAGGGTGACTCGTGCTGGGGCACACGCACGCCTCTCTCGCTCTCTCCCTCCTCCCCATGCCCACCAGCTTTGCCCGGGAGCGCCCCGGAGGGTGAAGGGACCCTGAAGGATTGCCCGGCCGGCGACCTGAGCCGAGGGAAGTGAGGCCACATGGCAGCCAGGTGCCGCCGCCTCCGTCCGATCTGGGCGCACACGCCGGCCCCTGACTGCGAGCTGGCAGGAAGCGAGCCCCCACCCCCCTTCGGGGAAAGGGAGTTTGGCCGGCTGCCCCTGGCTGCCGGCGGGCAAAGGCGACCGCGTGCTCGCCCGAGGGAGAGAAGACCCACAACCGGCATGGCCGGCTTCTGGCGGTGAGAGCCGGCGCGCCGCGTGTCTGGAGCGCAGCTAAGCCAGGGTTAGAATGACTTTTTAAAAAATAGGGGGATGCCAATTCTTTTTTCCTGATGACCCAGAACAGCCCCGGCCCCGCTATGGGGTGCGTGGGCACAACTTCCGTCTCACCGGTTTAAAATCTCACTTAACAGCCACGTCACCCCCCATAACACTGGGAGTTTCGTTTTGGATTCAGCTAGTCGGTTGCGATTACAATGCGAGACCTGGGTTCAGATCTCTGCTCTGCCTTGGAAGCTTCCTGGGTGACCTTGGGCCAGGCCTCTCTCAGCCTAACCTTTCTAATAGGGTTATTAGAAGGAAACTGAGGAATGGCTAAGGATGAGCCCTGCTGAATCAGACCAGAACAGTAGTCCATCTTGGCCGGCATCTCACACAGTGGCCAGATGGCTCCCCTGGACAGCTAACAAACTGGGCACAAAGGCCCTACCCCTGCTGTTGCCCCCTAGCACTGGGTTTCAGAGGCTAGTAGCCATTGATGGAGCTCTTCTCCAAGAAGTTGTCTTTTTGCAGCCATCTATGCTTGTGGCCATCACTACATCACTGATTATCTGACGAAGTGTGCATGCCCATGAAAGCTTATACTCAGACCAAAACTTTGTTGGTCTTAAAGGTGCCACTGGACTCAAACGTTGTTTTGCAGCTTCAGACCAACACGGCTACCCGCCTGAACCCGCAATTTACTAGTTGAGGAAGGAAATAGATCTTGAGGTTGTAGTGGTTAGCTCAATGAAAACGTCGACAGCCACGAAAAAGGCAGACGCCGTGCTGGGAATTATTAGCCAATACTGTAATGCCCTTGTCTCGCCTCAGTTGGACTTCTGTGTTCAGTTCTTCTACTTATTGTGTTTCAAGAAAAGATATTGCAGAGCTGGGAAAAGTGCACAAGAGGGCAGGTAAAATGATTAATAGTTTGGGGGAAGGCTGAGATTTGGGGCTCTTCCATTCAGAAGAAAAGATGGCAATAGAGCAGGGGTGGCCAAGCTTCCTTGACATTAAGAGCCACATAGAACAAACATCAGATGTTTGAGAACCACAAGCCATGAACAGACATTACATGTTTTTACTGGAAAAATATGCAGATTTGCATTTTATTAAATGACACTGCCAAAAATAATAACAAAAGATGTCAAAGCAGATATTGATAATGATACTTATGTGCCCAATAATATCTGTTTGTTAATGATACTTGGCTTCCATGGCCGCCCTGCCGGGAACCACACAGTATGTGTGAAAGTGCTGCATGTGGCTCCCGAGCCACAGTTTGGCCACCCCTGATCTAGAGGGACAGGATAGAAGTTTTATCACATTATGCACGGGGCACAGGAAGGGGATAGAACTTTTCCTTCTTGCCCCACAATGCCAGAACTCATGGGCACTCATTGAAGTTGATCAATAGCTTCGGGACAGACAAAAGGAGATACTTCTATCCCGCATCCCCACTAGCTCAGATCCCCATCAGCATCTATTTAAAGCAGGAGGGCGTGTTTTCCAGTGCATGGCATCTAGAACTTACTTACACTAGTCTGTGTATGCTACTTCACTGCTCACTGTGGTAGGGACCGGGGAAGGGAGAGGGGGGGATGGCTGTCCTGGGTTGCTTGGGAGTGGGGGAATTAAGCACAACATGGATTCCTGTCTTTTGTTTCTCCTGATGCCTAAATGTACTTTTGATGTTCATTGTTGTAAATGAGGATTTAAAAACAAATAAAACATATATTAGAAAAATAGAGAGAAGGCCACGTTCCACCAGGGAAACGGTGTGGAAGGGAAGGGTAAGCAGCAGGAGCCCTGATCCATGTTGCCCCTCTGTTGCCCTGCTGTGGCTGCTCTTTGGGGCGCAGTAACACATTGGAGCTGCGGTGGCTCAAGTGGTTAAGACGCTGAACTGCAGTTCGTGGAAGCTCAGTAGTTCAGCAGTTCAAGACCTGGCTGCCGCATGACGGAGTGAGCTCCCGTCTCTAGTTCCAGCTCCTGCCAACCTAGCAGTTCGAAAGCGAGACATTGCAAGTAGATAAATAGGTACCACTTTGGTGGGAAGGTAACAGCGTTCCGTGCGCCTTGGTGTTTAGTCATGCCGGCCACATGACCATGGAAACGTCTTCGGACAGCGCTGGCTCTTTGGCTTTGAAACGGAGATGAGCACCACAACCCTAGAGTCGGATTCGACTGGCTTTCGAGCAAGGGAACCTTTACCTTTTTTACCTAACACATCGGAGGATCCAGAAAACAGAGCTTCAGGATAATGCGCAGTTTCACCCTGAGCATCAGCCCCCCTCAAATATGGCCGGAAGTGTCGTGCCCTCCTTCCCGATTTTGTAAGAACTGAAAGGCAGATGGGGGCGGTGGATGGCACGTGAAACGGATCGCAAAATTGGGGAAGCGTTATCCTAGGCAACAGACCGTGGATAGTACATGTTATGTTAAATAGTTTGCTTTTAAAATTTTAAAAAAGGTATAGAATATACCAGTTTGTATGATGACAACGAATGGAGTCCACACTGTAAAATCTTCGGCCTTGCTGCTTCGTGACTAACCTAGAGCAGACATCCTGTGCCGGGAAAAGAAACTGCATTTAACTGCTCCGTGTCTCGCTGAATGTCTAGAAGCTGCTTCCTTCCAACCAGGGATCCAAGATCTTGGGTTATCATCTGAGTTCTGCCTCCTTTTCCAGTTCTGTGATTTCCTTAATCTTTCTCTGCTCCGCCATCCTTTTTGATCTTTTATCTAGTGCGTTTTTAACTCCACAGAGCTCAGGGCAGCATGTACTGGTCTTCCCTCCTCCATTTGATCCTCACAACAACTGCCCTGCGAGGTAGGTTAGGCTGAGAGTGTGTGATTGGCCCAAGGTCACCCAGCAAGCTTCCATGGTGGAGTGGGGATTTGAACCCAGGGTTTCCCAGACCCTAATTGGACACTGTAACCATTATGCCACACTGGCTCTCTTAAGTAACTGCTTCCTTTTCCCCTTTATCTGCTGGGATTCTCGCTTTCCCTCACAATGCTAACTGATTCTTCTCCTCCTTCAATTCCAACTTCCCATCTCAGTCCTCAACATTTTTTTGCCCCTTATGAAATGATAAGGATCCCCTTGGCTAGTTCATTTACAGAAGGGGGAAATTAGGTATTCTGCCTTCCTACTTGGACTGGGGAATGGGATGGGGGTGAGGAAGAATGCGGAGACTTTCATGACTAGCAAAGCGTCTTGGGGATTTTGATCTCAGAACAGAACCCTGGGAAAGCGTTAATGATCGGCTGTGCAGCAGTCTAGTTCCCCCAAGCCTGAATGTCTTCCCAAAAAGAAACAAGAAAGCCTGGTTGTTTGAAAGTATGTCATAATACTGGATGATGCTGACCTACACTGCAGGGATAGCGTAAACTAATTTCAGTTTCACAGCCCTGCTCAGTGTAAGGATCATAAAACGACTGTATTGTAGGGCTGTAGTAAAGTACCCTCTGCCTGCTACAGTGCTCCCTAGCGTCCACTGCAGGGATAGCAGCTATGGGTTATATTAGCTTTTGCGTTAAAGCTAAATATTTTGAAATAAGGTTTGAGTTTCAGCATTAATTCCTGTATTCTGTGCTTCTGCCTTTTGCAGGGGGGGGGGAGAAAATATGCCCAGTCACCGTTATTCTGGGGGTGGAAAGTGCCGTCAAGTCATTTGGTGACCCCGTGGGGTTGTCAAGGCAAGAGAGTCTGAGGTGGTTTGCCATTGCCTGCCTCTGCGTCACAACCCTGGTATTCCTTGGAGGTCTCCCATCCAAATACGAAACCAGAGCCAACCCTCCTTGGCTTCTGAGATCTGATGAGATTGGGCTAGCCTGGGCTATCCAGGTCAGGGCATGCATTATTCTCCCCGTTCGCGGGGAGGGCGGGGTATAAATACAATAAAATAAATAAAGAAAATAAATAAAATCCTGAATTTTCCCATTGTTTCCTATGGGCATCTGTTGCCAGATGGAATTGTTAGGCTAGAGTGTTGTTGTTGTTTTTTTAATGTTTTTCTGTCTGCAGCACTTGCTTCTTCTGTCTGCATGGGAATTTTCCGCATTGCTTGCAAGCCTTAGTACCAGGGTGTGGGAAAATAATGCTGGCGCAAATGCAGAGGTTCTTTCCTTTGCAGTTGGGACCAATGCTCCCTCTAAGCTGTGGAGTCTTGTGAGCAAAAATTCTGCTTTGTGAGCTCCTGGCATTAAAGTTGTGAGCGAGCGATTTGGCTACTGCATAAATTAGCCTGCTCTGGAGCCATCTTTCCTGAGCTAAGACAAAAATGTGTGAGCCAGGAGCTTAAAAACTGAGCTAGCTCACACTAACTCAGCTTAGAGGGAACACTGGTTGGAACACTGCAGCCCACCTCTCAAACATCTGGAATTCAGGGCAGCAGGTATTCCTTACAGGTGAGCTCCAGCCTCGTCATCTGTTGCTGGAGCCATTGAATACCAGTGTCAGCTTTGGAACGCATGCAGCCATAACGGAGAGGGTATCTCTGAACATGTGCGTGAGTCCTGCAGTCCGCGCCCACATTTTGGGGGCTGGGAATGGTGAACTGCTAGGTCAGTGGGTGTGGCCTTTGAGCAAACTGGGCGCGCAGGGGTGCTCTTTTCAGTGCTGGCGTGGTAGGTGGTAGAGAAAGATGGGCTTAGCCCATGCGGCAGCCAAGACTCCTTATGGGGCTGAGTGTCTTCCTCTTCCAGCCAGACGTAAGCCCAATCCTGAGCTCCCTGTTCACAGAGGAAAGGCTCAGCTGCA